GTTACTTTATTATAACATATTATAAATGGCATTTATGTGCGCCAATTAAAATATAACAAACAACTTTATTACATTCATTAATGTTACGCTATACATTTTCTTTTTTTCTCATGTGTGCGCGTATGTGGCAACCGTATAATTTTCCAACATTATGCATAGAAAATCATATCAACGTTAATTGATAATCATTTGACGTAGACGCTCCGCGCTGAATGCGACATTCATAATTTACATAATATAGCGTCTTCACGTTCGCGATGCCGTCAGCTACGTAACCCCGCGCTTCTTGAGAAGCGTGAGGAAAGCGGAGCTGAAAAATTCCGTAGCCGTGGCACGCGGGCGTTCTCGAAACCGATCTCACCACGCCTGCAGGTATACATGGATATATCGTGCTTCCACGCCGGCGTTAATAGGCCACCGGTAACTTACACCGGTATATATACGACGGCCGAACGCGCGCTGTATATGGTGGGATACAAACCCAGAGAAAAGAGAGAAAGAGAGAGAGAGAGAACGTCGGGGTTATAAACGTAGAAACGCCCCGTAGGGAGATCTGTCAAATAAATAATCCACGAAAAGCGCGGCGTGTATGCGTGTGCGGCGGTGTGTATGACGTCACATCCTCGAAAACACTATTATTATACCTCCAACCACCTCCGCCGGCGTATTAACATAGATTACGCCGCCGCGGCCCTCAAGCGGTGCTCGGTCCTCGCCATTAGGCGATTGTGCGGCTATTGTGGTTACCGCGGCGGCATACTCGCGCACACGTGGGACAAAGATTATATTTGCGCGAGCGCGTCCCATTGACGAGGAAAACACGGTGATCAGCGACGTGTGAAGCCGTCGCTGCGCGAACATTATAATTTCGCGGAGCGAAAAACCGTCGGCGCCGATCGCGAGAATCGGAATGCCTCAAGATACAACTATCGCGTTTTCCGTAACGCGTAGGAGTAACGTCGTAAATTTTGCCCATGCAAATTATTGAATCGCAAAAACTACAACGCTTATAGATATTTCGTATCGCCCGATGTTCCTTGAACGTTTTTAATATCCGTTATGGTACACAAACACACGTGGGTCGCTGATAACATCGCGGCCAACGCGGCGGTGATTCGAGAAAAAGAGACGGTGATCGATCGGCGCAATGGGTCTGTGTGTCGTGCGTTATTTGTAAAATGGCAGAGAAGTCGTTCGATTAGTTCTTGAGCGAGTGTATCAAGACGTCTCGGAGCGTTTGACTAATTGAAAAATATGACGGAATGTGTACAAATATATTAAGGAATATATTAAACTGTATTACATTTTTGGAGCCAAAAAGAGTAACAAGAAATAAATTATAAATTATGTACGAAATAACAATTTTTTCTTCTTTCTCAATGTAGCAATTATTTTTCTTTTTACATAAATAAATAAATTCAAATATAATCGCATAATTCTACGTCAATTCAGAATAATACAAATATTTTTTATTGTTTTTTTTTATTGATGCAACAATTTATTTAGAAATATATAAGTTTTTTTATAACGCGCAATTTGAAATGTACCAAGTATAAGAGAGAGATGAGCGGGTGATTCGGGATCAAAATTCAGTCAGTCGATTTGAAACTTGTCGTCGAAAGCAAGATCTATTCTCCCCACGTTACTTTTAAGCTACTTATTCCACGGCTTAACTCGTTCGCGATTGCTCGCCCGACGGCTAAATTCGAGACAGGTTCACAATTTAAGATGGATCAATCCGCATGCCCTGACGGATAATCTTCTCTTGGAAGAAACTTGAATTAAAGGGACGAACTAGTGTCGAGGATAAGTAGACATATCCTCTTCAATCTATGTATATTGACAATTATAAAACATACATAGATTTTGCAATTATCGATTCGCATCTGCTCTGTTCATTCATGATGACATAATTGTTTCATTCTACTTAAAAAATTTTTTTTTTTTATTTTGAGGATTAATATCAATTATTCTCGCATTATATTCCTTCACAATATAATCTAAAGCTAAACTAAAAGTTATATTTTTTACTTCACATATATTTATAAATTATATTTTACGAAAAAGTAGACACACACACACACAGTAAGAACTATAATCTTGTTTAAATTAAATACATAAAAGGAGACGGAAATTCGCGAGAGAAACTCATTTTCTTGCTTCCTTCTTGAGGCCATGGATGAATGGAAAGAGAGCGCTCCTGGTATTCTTTTTCTCTCTCTCTCTCTCTCTCTTCATTCCTACGGCTATGGACGACCCACAGAAAGAGAATGAGAGAACACGAAGGGGATCTTTTTTGCGAGCGCACTGCGTTCTGATCATGGAGGACTAGACAAAGAGAATAGGGAGGAGAGGAACCACTAAAGGTTTTTTTTTTCTTTCTTCTCCTCGATTCGATTCCGAAGAACAAAAGAATTCTATTTGGAATATTTTCCTTGTTGCACAGGAAATTGTTTATTAATTATTTATTATGTTTGTTTAAAGACAAACGAAAAAAATAAAGTATTTTGCATTCTTGACAATAATTTCATTAGTTGAAAGATATATATTTTTTTGTTTCAAAAAACCATAATAAATTTAACAGAAAAATTCCTCGCGTATATTACATCATATTAAATGTTTCATCTTCATTGATAACATGAAAGAAAATCATATTCAACGTCAAAAATGCGAGTGAATCATATGATGAGATCTCTTCAAGGTCTCCTTTTTCTCTCTCTACTGCTCGTCTCGATCGTCGTCGAAACGCAGTGACGCGTTTGAAGGTGCGAAGTGAAAGGGAACTTGAATTTTCGAAGATCGCTAAGAGGAGACACCTCTTAGCGAGAGAGGAAGCAGTCGTCGTTTCTCGGGAATGAGTCGGCCGATTCTTTTTCAATCTGTGTGTGCCAACCGTGTTTTGACGAAAAAATGGAAAGGCGAAGAAAAAACACAGGAGCGGCCCGCGCTTCGTTTGGTGAACGGTCGGCGCGAGAAGGAATCTCATTCGAGCGGAATTCGGCAGGCGAGCTCATATGATAACACGCTTCGTAATAACGGGGTGAGCGCGAAAGATAAGCGTTCGCGAGAAGTGGTACGATTTTCTTCTCTCTCTCTCTCTCTCTCTTTATGTTTCTCTTTTTTTTTGCCGTACCGTCCAAGGTCTTCGCGCGTGCATATCTCACGCCGATTAATTGCGGCTGATTTTTATTGCAAAATCGCAAAGTGGCGCGCGCCGGTGTGTGCGGAGTTAATGGTTATTGGCTCGGGATATTCCACGCATGCGGCGGATTGTCGGCGAGTGGAACGCGCGCGCGTAATTCGCGCGTATCATACCGCGTACGCGCACATACGCGCGCATACGAGATATATCGTATAGAGCCTCTCCCGTGTCATAATAATAAATTCTACATAGCAACGTGACTTATTCGCATCGCTCGCGGCCAAGTGCGCGCAATAATTGTTAATTGTCAACGCTGATACACGCGGCAGATAATATTCCGCTCCTCTGGCGCTATATATATACAATCGTTCCGATTCTTTTTTTGCCGCGTCCGTGCTACCGTCCGTGTAAACAACTAGGATAATTCGCTAATGAGGAAAACAAGATTTTGATAAAAAGAGATATTATTAGTTTTTTTGTACCGAGATGTGTTTCGTTCGATATGCGAACGTCATTATCTCGTCATATTGTCTATATTTAATTTATGCCTCTAGGAAAAACTCAATCAGTACGATCGTTATTCAATATTGAATAGATCAATAAATGTTTAATCTCGATCGATTTAATCTGATCATGCGGTTATTTTCAATTACAAATTGGATGAATATCTTTAAATCTCCAATCTGCGACGAATATTTAATTTCTTTAGAATAAATTCGCGTAACTCGTAAAAGTTCGCTCGCAAAAATTCGTTTTGGTCGCAGTGTCGTAAATACGCGCGCTAACGAACCACTGAATCTCTAAATTCGTTTGACGAGACTGTAACAAGCTCCGGAGCTGACATTTAGCTTATCCCCCCATTTTTTCGTTCTGACCTTTGCCGCGTCTCTTCGGGTTCTCTCGTTTTAATATATTATCACATTGAATATCTTCAGGCAATCTCGACAAGGAAAATATGCTTATGTCCGGCTTGTGATCACGTCTTCAAATGTCTTTCGCATCGTTACGAACAAACATGATTCATTTCAATTAATTTTTTTCTTTACCCACTGTTATATTTATAACGCGTCTAGCGAGACGATATTAAGCGCAGTTCAGGCGGCAACATAGAGTTATCCATTTTTAGTCTCGTCCACAAACGCACATGGCGAGCCATTGTATGTAGCAATATCTTTTGACATACTTCATGCACATATGGAGATACGTGTTAATGAAAAACACTAACGTCTATGTTGCCATCAACTGCTTTTCGTGTCCGCGTTGCGGTCTGCATCCGCTGTGCAGATAGACAAACCGCAAAACGCATTGTGAGTCAATAATCGGGGAGAGGATGAATTACAACTTGTCGCGCGTCTCTCGAATATACCATCATCAGATGACTGTTATACAGTCAGGATGGACTTAATTATATTTGAAATATGCATATAGGGGATTTTTTAACGACATAAACATATGAGCGATGATGTTGCATATAATTATTAAATTTTTCACCACTAATAAATAAGGATATATACGAGATAATATGGAAATTGTATTCTCGCACTAAATTATATTATCATGCACACGCGCTTTTCTGTTTTTCGTTAGGTAAGAACTTTCATTCACGCGAGCATTTCATACCACTTCAATTTTGAATTATTCTTCCATCGAATTAATAGCACGAGGTAGACATTAGCATCGTATGAATAAATATTTATTGATTTCGCAGAACTTCCCTAAATATATGCTTCTCGATTTTCGTAACAACAGTCACGTTCGTGAATAAGGAGATCGATTGAATTTAGAAGAAAGAAAAAAATCACCTGTGAGTAAGTGCAAATTAGTAAAGCTAAAAGGAGGAAAAATTGAAGAAACTTACCCAACACGAAGCGAAGCTGTGGCGGCGGCAGTGAGCGTCAGTTGTTGCGCGGCTGCAGCCGCACCGGCGACGGCCGGGTCGGCGGCGACAAGTTCTGAAAGCACGAGCACCGTCGTCGTGGGGGTCGCGGCTCCGCCATTCGGTACGGACGCGCTTACGGCGTGCCGTACCGTCGGCGACAGATTATCCTCGTGTTGCAGTTGCAGCTGCGGATAGTGTAGCTGAAGAGCGGCTCGGGGTGACGCAGGCCGACGGCGGCGACGGCGACGGCGGCGACGGTCGGGGCGGCGGATACTTGACCACCTGCACCTCGTGCTCGTTCTCGTAAATGATCTCCTTGTCGTGGGTGTACATGACCGTCTTCTGGCCGTCGTTGTAGATCAGACCGGCGGCTGTCTCGGTGACAGGTGTCACCCGACCATCCGAGTCATCCGTCGCCGTGGCGTTCCGCTGCTGCACATCGTCCGAATCGCTGCCCTGAATGTGCTGCTGCTGTTGCTGCTGCTGATGATGATGATGGTGATGGTGATAGTGATTATGATGGTGATGGTGATACTTCGGATGGAGGGTATGAACAGCCGGCGGTTCGTGCAGATCGAGCACATTCACTGGCTGCATGGTCGTCAGCAAGACCTGCTGCTCGCTCTCGTTTTGATTTGGGTTGCTCAGAGAGGAGGACGCCGGCGAGACTGGCGCCTCCTGCACCTGTAATATAGGTAGCTAGGGTCATTGTCGCAGCGTACACATTGCACGAATGTAAAATTGTTATTGTCGGACAGAGGATTTTGCGAATTGATCATGTGAATGTTGATTAAATACAAATGTGACGCGGCGATCTCTTCCAACTTGATTTTGCTCTGTCATGTCAAACATATTTATTATTGATACTTTTCTCATCATATTCTTTTAATATAAAAGATAAAAGTATGTAATTATCGCAATGCGATCGTGACATCATGCTCTATAATCGCATAAAAATATATTGGTCGCATTACATCGAATAATAATGAGAAACCTTGATCTTTATGCAATACCGGTCACTCCCCTTTCCTCTTCACTCGCTTTGCGAGGGAGTTTCATTTTTTTTTTCTGATATTGTGCATTCGTTGTCAGCCGCCGCTTGTGCATATAAGCTGGATTAAATCATTTACAAGCACAATGATAACGGAGCTTAAACACACTGCATATAGTCGGTACTAATTTATTAATCGCATTAATAGTGTGGTTTACGACATTAGGATTTATATGCCCGAGTGCGCTCTCGGCGTCCTGGATAAAGCCGTTTCTATGTGTGTACGTATCATGTGTGCGTATTGCAACAACCTATAACATTTTCGAATGCTGATAATATCGTGATAGAAATTATATTAATATCTTGATGCGGCGCGCACACAGTCCGAGATCTCTGTTACATACCGTCACAGTCATCCCCTCGTCATAATTAATCGTCCGTTGCTTGTAATACGCGCGCCGAGAAATTTTTGCAGCATATTTAAAGATGAAATGATTATAAGCGCGATATAGGTACGTTTCACTCGCTTGCAACTCTTCACGAGATGATCGCCACATTGCGCGCGCCGGCTTTCTTCGCCGCGAGATTCAGGAAGAGTTAACTTTATAGCTTTCATTTCCCAGAAGCTGACGATCCATCCTCTCGCGCTACATCCGCACGTCGTCATTATCTAATTGCTAATCCAACACGAGCGTCGTTGCGTCGAGATTTATATTGTTCCCCAAAAATCGACGCGCGTCTTCCGTGACAACTTTTCACCGAACGACAGTCGTGTGTAGATTAAATGCAGCCGCGAGTAGATTAAATGCACCGGTGAATGAACAGTTAAATAATTATAAAAGTTGGATAATTTTCGTTCTAAATAAAATTATTTTTACCACACGTTTTCATATTTCATGAATATCGGATAAAGTTCAAATTTTTTTTTCAAAGCTGTTCTTCTCGTACGCAATCAATAGTGAATAAAATTGCAGAAGTTATTCATGAATTATAGAATCTCCGCGACTAAAAAAGTTCAGTGGTTGAATAATAAAGAGAAGTCTGATTGGAATTTTGCTAAAACTTCTATTCTTCTATTGAGAGATTATACTGCTCATAAAACAGATATTCTAAATAAGTAATATATAGTTAATGGTCAGTTTCTCTGACAACGGTCACTTTACCGATGCACCTGATTCCCGAAGTTAGCGCGCGCGAAAACCCCATCGACCCGTATGAATAAGAATACGGTACAGTAATGACGTCGTTTGGAATTTCCCACGTGTCGCCGGATTATCATGCTTTCTAGCCAATAACATAAGTTACGGCGCTCGGAGAGTATCTCTCTCTCTCCTTTTTTTCTTAAGAAAACCTCCGAGACCTCGAGAGCTGCCCGATGCCACACAGTCACCGCGGCATCATTCGTAACGTGACAGCGAGCGACGTGGCAGTGCTATTAAGGCTCGTGCATATTGCAGCAGCCTGCAGCCGCAGCGATAGGTTCCGTCAATTAACATAATTAACAATATTATGAATCATCCTCTTAATGTCTAGACACCTTTCGCGCCCGGAGGTATACGTGAATTATGAATACTGAATTGCGCGTCTTTAGCCTAAGCACAAAATTCTTTTTTCTCTCTCTCTCTCTCTCCTTTTTTTTTTTAAATAAGAAAAATATCCTTTCCCCCCTTTACTTATTTTCTGCGGTGTGCGCGAGGCTTAATCCCGAGTGTCACCGGTTTCTATATTTTCTCGCGTTGGCCGTCGTAAATCCAGACGCGAATGAATAATCGCGACCCTACGATTAAGCGCGAGGATTAGCGCGATGAAATACGGTCGGTAGGTACGGGTAAAATCATTAATGGATGAACGCGAGCCTCTGAATAGACCACACATGTCTCCTAGAGTCAAGGTAACAATGTTTATCTCGCGATTATGACTTTCTAGTGTTTAGACCTGACAAACTTATTATTAACAACGTCATAATTTCACGCCTTTTGCCGTACAACATTTTAAAGCATATCGTTTTTATATTTTGAAGACTTTTTATTATGCGTTTATTATATTATTAGTAATATTACACGCTTAATATCCGTTTTTTATCTGTGTATATATAATTTTATATTAAACATGTATTAATGTTAATTCTAATTGCATATGATTATATACATTACATCTATAATAGACATGTGTCTTGATTTAGTACAATACCGATACGAATTATTCTAAACGTAAATAACTAATAAACAAAGAATATGTGTGTAGTTTTTCATAATTTATTAATCGCATTGATATTTGAAATTTTCTTTTTATCGATAAAGAGAATCATACCAATGCACATATATCAATTCGTAATCTCGAGATTCCGATGTAACTTAAAACTATTCAGAAATACAAAACGCATTATAAATAAATTTCATCATTATATTTTAGTGGCAGTAAATTTTTTACAGGTCTTAAACGCAACATTCATAGACACCAAGCATTGTATCTTCAGTGTCTAATGGACAAAACGGTCCTGGCGTAACGGTAATGTCGCGCAGACAATAAAAATGTCATGCCGCCGCGAGCGTTGCGGTTTTGCGAATTTCGACTCATTCGATGCATTTTACCGTAATCCCCCCAATGTCGTTAAGGATCATCGCGGATTTATTTTCTAGATAATAACCGTCCGATAAGAGCTACCGGGAAAAGTTGTTCTTGACATCGCGCGACATCCATCGCGATATACTCGATCGGCGGAGTCAGGGGTCTCAGATACACCGGCTAAGGATATTAATCAACTCGAGTCGCGACCGCGACACAAACCTCCCGCGGTCGTTACACGACGTTAAGTACTCCGCGTTGCGAATACTCGGCCGTGTACCGACTTCATCCGGAATCTAATCCAACGTCAGTCGCTTTGAAATTTATCGTGCTGGTGCGGAGTCGCCGATATCGATCGTTCTACGGTGATCCATTGGAACGGCGCGCGCAAATTTATTACTTTTTATTACATTTCGCGTACGAACGATTTGACAGCAGGCAAGGATGTATATAGTGGTGGACATGGAGTGTAAAAATATATTTTTTTGCAATTCCGCTATTATTCCGTTTAGGAAGTTTTCTGTTATCGCCGCATTTATCTCAACTAGCATTTATTTTATCATTAAGGATGTTTTGGCTGTATAATAGTAGCAAAAAATTGTCAAAATTAAAAGAAAAACATATTTCTTACGTTTATATTGTTTAAAAAATTAAATGAATAAATTCGAATTATAAAGAAAGTTAAAGTATCACAAAATAATATGGTTTTTGACGTCTTCGTAAAAGAAAATAATTGTAATTAATATTTTTCCTAATTTATGACAAAAATATTTGATCGTAAATAACCCCTGAAATCAACTGCAAGAAACAAAAAAAAAAAACGAGTAATTTGCAGAAAGAGAAAGAGAGATAGATAATATTTTTTTACAATTTTTAATAAATAAGTTTTAAACGAAAAAGTGGATCTCAATCAAGTTTTGCACAAATATTTATTAGAGTTTTCTTAATATATGTGAACATTTTTATTTCGTTGGCAATGTTTTTTCCTTATCAAATTTGTCAATAAGTGTTATAATATGCGATTTTCCATAAAAATCAATAGCAACTTTAAACTTAAATAATTTCCAAATCGTTAAGAGAGTTGTGCTCAAGTTTTGCACAGATGTTCAGAAGAAATAGTAGAAGTCTACGAAATTTTCATGCTTTTATCAATGTCTCGACATATGATACTTAAACGAGTCCACCGTTGGTTTAATCCAGTTTCTTCTAACATGCGGATTAAAACAATCCGTCATATAAAGACGGTTTATTATTTATTATCTTGAAATTTAAGAAAATTAATTCTTAGTTTATTGAATAACCTGTTACAATGTAGATAAGAATGCCGAAACTTTCTTAAGTGACATTTTTTATATTTCATCTATCATCCAAACAATCGGCAACGATGATCTAATCGCGGGGAAACTTACCGCATAGGATGAATACTCGCGATTTCGCGAGCTCGCGAAATGATTACCGCGAATCCTACGGATCGCGGTAGCTCGTTTAGGATGCTGCTCGCTCTGTTTACACGCAAGAAGTGCTTCATAATAACAGTTAATTGGCCGGTCGGGCTGCGTTCGTGAAAGCCCGCGACGGACAGTAAGTCCACAGACGTATCTGCCGGTCGAATGGCCCGTTCATCCGCGGCTAAAACTCGACGGTTACTCGAACGTCTCCCTCGTTTCTTTACCCGTTGGCTGCCGTAGACCGCGAATCACGCGCAAACATCTGCGGACGTTCGCAACGTGCAGTTATTACCGATCGCGTTGCGCGCAGCTGCAACGTAGATACGTTGAATCGTTAGGTACTTTTCTTTCGTGGTACGTTCCTGTCTCTGTACGTGTCTCGGGGATACGATCCTCATTCGTTGTATTCCCGCAACGGCTGGAATATTTTTGCGATTGACTTTTTCTAATCGTAAACATTATTGCTCGTTTTATCATCTCTCGCTGCTCTAGTAAAGATTGTTGATATCTGTTAGTTTCTGTTACCTTCTCTAGGAATAACGTGTCCCGAAAAATGTTGAACTGTTTTATTGAGGCTGTTTTGAAGAAGATATAATAGTTTAAAGCTTTTATCTTAGTTTACAGAATATCTTTGGAAAAACCTATAATATTATTGGCTGTTAAAAGAGTTTTAGTCACTTTAGTTTTAAGCATTTTATATCATACGATAAAAAAAAATAAATGTATTTTTCTTAAATCAGTATTTTGCTCATGTATCCCTCTTTACCATATATGATATCTATAATATATTTTCTGCTTACATATATCAGCATAATGTCAAGTGATAAAATTTGATAAAAAGTTTAATGTAAATTAAAAATCTACTAAAAATCAAAGATGATCACTTTTTTAAAAAAATTCTAAACGTGAATTTTGAATTGTAAGATGCAGAGTATATAGTGTTGTTTTTACACTATCATGCGTCTAGGTAAGAGCTCTTTATAAAGCAACTTTTCTTCCATTACTTTACTGTTAGTGTTCTCAGTTGTAAGAGCATTAGCCTTAAATGCATCGATTGTGACAAAAATGACAACGATCGCAATTACAGTGAAATCTTTCTTGCGTTATTGTTCATCGAATGCTGGATACGGTATTTTATTGTATTCGGTAATCGCATGATGATGCAGCTTGAATAATATTGCTCTGCACAGCCATTTTCCAATGTTTTATATAATTAAGTATTAAGTATTTCGTAAATTTCTGGTACGCAATTGCCGTTTATTTAATTAATACCGTCGCTGATTATCGCTTATCATCGTTAGTCATCAAGCGCTCTGCTTTTTATCGCGAGTTGTCTTGCAAGTAAAATATTTCGGCGTTCGTTTCGTCGATGCGCGCGCGCTTATTTTCGATATACTTTTCTTTTTTATACGCTTTCAATCTCGTTTTTGCGATCGGTATGAGTCATTCGAATCGAGAAAAGACGTGCAAGCACGAATTACGAAGAGGCTCCCTTTTCTTTTCTTTTTCCTTTCGCCGTTGCCGCCCAATAACGAATCGGTTAACGAAAAAGTTAATGAAGATACAAAATGACCAGTCGCTCGGAATTCTATTAAAGAGCCTTTATTTCTTATCTCCATAATGAACGGCGTGATCATCGTCGAAGGTTCCCTTCATTTAACCATCAGTTTATACGAGAAATTTTTGAAAAGTCATCCGCCGCGGATCTCTTCCTTCATCGTATCCAGATACAGTTTTATCCGCGAGTATGCAGATAGATAGATATACAAGACGAACGAACAGCCAACATACCGTTCGTTTAATGCGAACGAAAGAATGTTGAAGTTTGATAAGGGGATATCGGCGTGTACATGTCCACGATGACGGGTAAGCTCGCAAGACACGTCCATCCACGTTTCGACATAGCGAAGAAGCGCGATGGATAAATGATCATCTTGCGATCCGGAAGCGCGATAATATTTACACGGCTACTTGAACACCCGGTATGCTTGCGATGCTTATCGTAGGTGTACGGATTTAACCGCTTATTAAAGGCGCCAGACGCAGGTGCGAAATGGAGATCGTCCTTACTTTCGACTTTTCTCGAGATTCATGCGCGCTCATTCGCGTGCGATGTTTAAGGATAGCAAATTATTTTTTTATTAGTCTTTTATATGCGCATTCATCGGTGACATCTTGGATCTTAATGTTCGTCACGGGTAACTTAATCTCGAAAAAAATCTCTTTTTTAAATTGTTTACACCGTCATCTGTTAGAATATCAGATGTACATAATAACTCATCGCATAATTATTTTTTTCATTCGTGTAATTATGATTACGTATTACTGGCGGCAAAACAAAGATTTTGTTTCCTTAATGAATTTTTTAAGATTGCATGTTACATCAACTACGGTTTTTATGCACATTTTTCTTTTTTATTAGCGAATAAAACAGGTAACCGAGAAAAATTAGAAGCTCTATGGTTTTGAAGTATTCAATTTATGCGAAAAGTGCCGCGGAATCAACAGAACGAGACTATAATGAGTTCACAACTTTTAATCATAATTCTTAGAGCTACATATTAAAATTTTACTGAACGGCTAATGCATGCTCGAGTTTCTCATCGCACAGTGTCGTAATGCGAATGTAACGTCAAAGCGTTTCACTTTCGAACGACGCCTGGCTTGAGAACGATTTTTTAAAATAAAAAATATGAACTTATCCGTGGCGATTCTACAATTAAATTTTTATTAAAGAATATGCTTTTTTCGCCCGTAGATTGTCATATTACCTAATCAAATATGAAATTGTATTATTATCGGATATTCCGATATTAATAATAATTAATAATAATAATTAGAAGCAATATAAGAATTGTAGCAAGTGTGTCATAAAAATAATTGCTCAATAAATCAAATTAAATAATTAGAATTACATAAAAAATTCCCCGTCATCGAAGATGATAATTTTATTAAAGATTACAAACGATTAAAATTGCCAAAAAATAAATTCAAACGATAGCTTACTAAGAAAAAAAGCATTGATCAAAACGTAACCAATTATACAAAAAAAAAAGGGGAAAAAATTATTCTGATACGTTAATTTAATAACGAGAAAAATGAACATAAAGATATATAGCTTTGTTCTTTAATTCTTGCTACTACATTCGTGTTTCTAAAAACGCTTTGTAGAATTTTCTCGAATTTATTCTTTTCTTACTTTTTCTAATTCTTTGTGGTTTGTGACATGTACCATTTTTAGGACATTCAACTTGCTTTTCCAACATGTATTTCCCATGATCGCTTTTTTTGTTAGCAAATAGATTACGGTCAACCAATTACGATCGCAGCTTGACGCTTGAAGAGAAAAGAAGTTTTCAAAAGCTTTTTAGTGGGTCAAATACTGCACTGATAATAATACTGCAGTTCATAATTCTCAGTTTACCTTCGCAACGGGTGGTGTTGCTGAGAGAGTTGACGAAAGAGAATATGAAAAGAAAAAATATGGTCAGAAAGAGAAAAGAAAAAAAGAGAAAAGACATAGAGGAAGATATCACACGCACAAAAATACAGTTTAATGATAAAATATAATTGCATCCTGTGAATTGTTGAAATATTATAAAAAGATCATAGAGAATTATAATACTTTAATATCGTTAAATTTTACTAAAAATTTCCGATTAGAATATTTCTCGATTTTAATCGTCCACGCATTGAATACCAGTCAATGGTTAATATTTTATATATTAATATTAGAATAAATAAAACTGCATTTATTAAATTGCCGAAGATTTTTAGGCTTGTTGATATTTAATTTGTATATATTACACCTAACATGAAAAAGAGAGTGAAATAAGATTGTCTTGATTTTGTAATTTGTTTTTATATTGAGCCTATATTAGATACAAATATAATTCTCACAATTAGGCAAATTTATCTAATAATAAATGCATAGTGCATTTATATATAAATACGTGTCGCGCGCGCGTTCAATCTTATTATCTGACAGTAAGATTTTGAAACTGACCGGAGACAGAGCCTCCTGCATATGCAGGGGTGTGTTGTCGCCCTCGTCGGTACACGTCGACATTCTCCGGCGTCGTCTTCCAGTTCTCTTCTTTCGTCGTACCGTGATATTTGTTTAATACACCAGATTCCGTCTGTTTTTCCTTTGGGAGTCGCAGTCGCTTCTCTTTCAGCGATAGGTTTAAATTGGAAACCTTTCAGTCTGTTCTAGTTTTCGATTAGGCGTCTATGTCTACGCGAACCTATAGTTTTAGGCATCGGGTATCGTATCACAGGTTGCTGAGGCTTGTATGGCACGTGATTACTCGAAGAAGAAAAGCGGGCGGTAAGGACCTGCAAGAAGCAAAAGAGAGAAGGACGCTTAAAGCACGACATATCATGTACAGAGATATCGTATATCAGTTTATTGATGATTCGAGCAAGTAAATTTCCGTCGCCCAATTATTTAACACGAATAATGAAGCGCGCGCGCGCGCTCATTTAACGAGTTTAATGCATGTGAATGTAGTAACACGCGTAAAGAGGAGGACAAGGTGACCGAGAGTGAAGACGGAAGAGGCGACTTGTTCCACCCGCACGCGTTAAGAACAAGCTGAACTCTCATCAGTGGGAACGAGATGAACCGGCTGTCGGTTACCACTTCGGGGCGAAGTGGGCAGGTAATCCTACGTTTTCCGCATAGCAGGTAGGTACCGGCCCGGAACCGGAGAATCCGCGTCAGACACTGCACGTGGCTCGCGGGAGGAAGAGAAGTTTCGCACGCGTGACACGCGTAATCTTGCGCGAAGACGGGAAACCGGAACCCGAGAGCAGGTTCGGCGTTTATCGCCGGGTGAGGATTCGCGCGGATGTCGGTCAACCAGTCTGACACCGCGAATTCTACGTCTCCGCAATCCATGCGGTCTCACCCAGGTGGATATTAGTAAAACCAGTCTCTCGGTTCGCTCTTCTCTTCGGCTTGCTCATCTGCTTTTACTACGGTGGAGTACGCGCGCGCGCGCGCGCGCATGGGGGAGGGCGCGCGCGCGTAAAACTGGAATTCAGCTCGCGGGCACACTGTTCTGACGGATAGACAGGTATAATAATAGACGTAACGAGGAAGCCGGACCATCGAGAGTGAACACACAGAACGGTGCCGGTTCTCACTCTCTTTTTATCCGTCTCTCTCTTTCACGTTTCATTTATCCGTCCGCGCCGTCAATAACGGAGTCGCGGTGATGCTCGCGAGGAAGTAACAAGACTGGTTGTTTGAAAGAAAGAGAGAGATAGAGGGGAGAGAACAGAGAGATGCCGAAGAGGGTGGCGGCGGGAAGTAGATAGGTAGGTACCTACCTACTACGCGGAAGAAGGAGATTGGGGCGACCGGGGAGAAGGAGTAGGTACGCACACGAGGCCGATATACAACCGCGAACCGGAGACGAGAAGCCAGAGGAGCAGGTTCGGCCGGTCTAACCTGATTCTCAAAGGGAACCCTGCATCAGATTGGACCCACCTCCGTGGGTCCGTTTGTATTTCAAGTACCTGTACGCCCTCGCCTCGCGTCAGTGAACGATGCCTCCGGAGACGGTGGACTCCGTCGAGTTCGTACAAAGAGGAAGCGAGGCGTCTCCTCGATTGACGGATCGCGCGACGGCGATGTGCCTTTGTCGGCGTCGAACGCCTCGGTCGTGCGTTGCACCTGCCGCTGATAGATCCAACAAACTGCCGTTTGTCGCGGCGGTGTGCATCGCGGTTGCAGTCTCAGACACAGCTGCGCAGACTGCCGTTAGTGCAACGAGAGTGAATTTCTAGAAATTTAGTGAGAGTTTCAATTGATTCCTTTGGAGAACGCCGAGCCGTAAATGGAATTTAAAATTATGCGCGAAAGGATTCTGTGCGTATCCGAGTACGGATTTTTCTCGTCTCAAGACTTTTTTCGTGTCTGACAACTTTTTTATTATTTCTCCGTTTGATATTTTATTATCGATTTCGATGGATAATCGTTCGGAATTAATTTTAAAGAGGAACATAAAAGTTATAGCGCTGCTGAGTTTTAGGACAATTTTATGGAATTTCAAAATTTTTAAGTAAGAGGATTAATTAACATGTGTTTCTGAGAGATGAAAAAGTAGAATAGAAGATTTACGCGAATATTTGAGAATGTTTTTGAAGTGTTCGCCAATATTTCACATGTATTCATATAACGGAAAAGTAATATCTCATCAAAAATAATAATTTTAATTCTAATTATTTTATGTATTTATGGAGCATTGAGCATGCATATAATTTGGCGGGAAGAGTAATCATAAATATCGTTTATATAAAATAATGCAAAAACATTGACAAAACAGAGCTTCATTATCATAAATGGTTTTTACTAATAACGATCTCTATTATAAACAATATTGTATCGTATTATTGCAATTCTGTCAAAACATACGTACATATGTACGTGCATATAAATACATCATCTTACATTTCTGCGAAATATCTCGCGTGAAAGGATTTAATTTATTATATCACACAATCTAAGAATTTTTACTATCTCTTTACTAACGATAGCATGTATCGCAATACTAGAAAAAGAAACAATTACATATGTTAAAACGTCGATGCACATGATCGCAAGAAGAAATAGATACGAGATTTTTGTCAACAGAATATCATGCATTGAACGGTCATGGTCCCGCGTCTTGGCATTCACTTGTTCACCGGTAGGTTACCTGCGCATCACCTGTGCGTCATCGCGTAGGTAGCCACCAACTATTGAAAACGCGCCGAGGAAGGAAGGAGTGCGTTACAATAATACCAAAGTGATTAGACAACTATATACAAAAATAAATACTCACTCGTTGGTATCGCATTAGAAGAAGGGGGGGAAGAAGTGTTGTGTGCGATACAGCAGCCGGTGCATTCGCAAGAAGCCGCTGGTCCGATGGTTGCTTTACCGGTGTGGCGGATTATCGCGCGCGCATGTGCGCGGGAGGAGGGAGGTAAGAGAGGGAGATGGAGAGTAGGTGATAGAGGTCGCGAGGGGAATGATAAGGTAATAGAGGGGGAGGGGGAGGGATGGGGGACCAACTACAAACTACTGAGCGTCCCTCCTGTGTGCTGGATTACATCTCAACGGATGATAGTGTCATCACCTTCGCCGAAACGTACGATCTCTCGGCGAATATCTCGGCTGATGTTGGAGTTACTCTCCTACTCGAGGATACCCTTCTTCGAAGGCCCGCGTTTCTCTCCTCCGCACGATTTACGCTCTCTTCTCCACCAGTGAAGAACGTATGGCACCGTGAGATCTCGGACGCTTCTATCTAACGCGTTGTCTTATTCACTTCATATCACACCCGCGATTTACACATTGTTGACGTAGACATTTCACGAGCCTGGAACATTGCTGTCGATCACTATGCGCGTTTCGTTTTACGTGTCCACTCGATTGTACTGCGCGTGTCACTCGTTCTCGGCAAGATCTTATTAGACTTGTCCGAATCTTATTCCGAATCGTATAATCGCGCACCGGCTTCAGTCACACACTTGTTCACACGCGGGACGACGGCGGCGACGGCCGATGATTACCGTCGCATACAATCACTAGAAAATTTTTCCGATCGATCATTTAACGGGATCTTCAAGTTTAACGCGTTGATTAAAGAAACGTTGTATTCTTTTTAAAACGTGCACTTTGTATCTGAGAAAAGGATCTACTGGAGTAAAATTTAAACCGCCGAAAGTTTCAGTCGCGCCGCTGCAAGCAACAAACGAAGCAGCCTCTCGAATCGTTCTCTCTTCTCTCGGGAGACGGCAACATGGCCGCCTACCTCCTCTGCCTCTCAGCATCCCGCTCTTGGCTCCAAGTCTCTCAGATTCCCCCCTCCGTTCCACTCGTGTTCCACACACGCTTGTGCACGGTATTTCCCTCCTCCTGCCTCTCTTTCTCTCTCTCTCTTTCTCCCTCCTACTTGTTCCCCTTCGCGTTTTTTTTTCTCTCCGGTCTCTCACACAGCCAGCTTCCTTCACTTTTAAGCGTCTCTCTTAGGCTTCTCTTAAGTTTCTCTTTTCGTCTCGTTCTTCCTTCTTTACCTGCGTACCCTATAACGCCTCCCTTTCGACTCTTCCTTCGGCGGCTCTTTTTATCTCTCTTTCTCTTTCAGTATGGTATAGCAATATAATCTAACATCATGGTCCACCATATCCCTCCCGGTATCCTCCTACTCTTAATCGAGAAGGAGAGAAAGATATTTCGATTTGTGATGTATCAGAGAGAGTGGTGAGGGCCCTTGGGCTTCTCCGAGCCGTCATTCCTCTCTCTCTTTCTCTTTGTCTCTCTCTCTCTCTCTCTCTCTCTCTCTCTTTCTCCAGGTATTCTCCCGCTCGTTTGTTCTCAAGCGATACGATGAGATCGAAAGAGACAGACAGATGTATCGCGGGCGGTGGTAGGAGACGACAGGAGGAGGGAAGGGGAAGGCCGGTACGCAGGTAGCCAACGCGAAACAAGGACGGGCTCACGGATCTTGTCGACGAGCGGGACCAGAAGAGACCCATCGTCTCCACAGCGAGCCGTACGGATACAAACAGAGCATCAAGTAATCGACGAGGCAGCGGCCGGCATCGTGGCCACCCGACATTATCGTATCTCTACAGTCGTCTCTCTCCGACGCGTCGCTTTTTCATCTCTCTCGCTCGGTCTAGCCGTCTCTCGAGAAAGATATTCGACGAAAGTGCCACGAGAGAAACGAAGACGATCGCGTTATACGTACGCGTGCATTATATCGCGTTCCTCTTCGCCGTCTCTCTGATTCTATCATTCTCTCTTTCTCTCTCCTATTCTCTTTCTCTTTTTGGTTCCACCTTCGAATCGCGTCCTACTCCGCCTTGCTACCTTGAGAAGGATACACGTGGTCGAAGGATATATGTGGAACGAAGACGACCGCGCAGACATACGTTATCGCCGGTGTCCTTTTCTTACTCTGGATTTCATCCTCTTGTGTATGTGTATCTGTGCGTGCGACTCCGTCCCGCTCTAGCTTCGCTACCTTGAGAAGGGTATCCGCGGGGAGGACCGCGAGAGGAACGAGAAGGAGGACACGCACACATATAGATTATCATATCTGAGTCTTGTGTATTTCCCCGCCTTTACCTTCGCTCCTCCAATCCCTCTCGCTTCAATTTTATAACGCTCGCTCTTTATCTTGCCACCTTGAGAAGGATATCCACATACCAAATCGTATCCGAGAGATATCTAATAGAGGGACGTAAAAAGTCATCTCATTGAATACGCCGAAAGATGGCAGATACCTCATCGGATGGAAAGACATATCTAGATATGTCGACCTATTATAAGTTTTCGTTTTGTTCTGAAATAATTTTTTTATCTGCTTTATAAGGAGGCTTTCGTGTCTATTTGCCTCGGATAATCGAGGTATCTTCCCGAGTCATCGCGAGACAGACGCGCGCACGCAGACGTCGAGGCCCTCTCCTCATCTCTCTGGTCAAAGGAACGCGGTGAACGTAATGGAAGGGAAGAGAGAGAGAGAGAAAGAAAGAGCTTCTTGTTTATGTAGAAGTGAGCTCTATCGTCTCGTCTTCCTCCTTTCTTTTCACCGTCATTGTGAAAAGGATATCCGCGAGAGAGATTCGCTCACGGTAGAACAAAAAGAAGGTGTACGTACACGCGTACACACGTATATATACCATGTATGTTCGTATATATACGTATATTCGATTGATTCCCTCTTACGTAGAGCAGGCGAGAAGAGAAGACGCTTACGCTGGACGCCGAAGAGAGCGAAGCTGCTGCCGGTGCTGCTGGCGGAGTCGCGCCGCTACGAACGAAGATGGACTCGGGATCGAAAGAGCGAGAGATTCGAGAGGGGAAGTCAGGGGATGGAAGCAAGGCGAAGAGGAGGGCGTGTGCGTGAGTTTACGACGAGAGAAAGAGAGAGTAGAAAAGGAGTGGATGCGCGAGCGACGAGGAGGACGGGCGTTGGCTACGCGCACGAAGGGAGATTAAAAGAAGAAAAAGAAGATGGAATTAAAAGAGGAAAAAAAGGGGAGTCACGGGCAACAAGAGGCAAGGAGAGAAAGAGGAAGAGGGAAAAATGAGGGTAAGGAGAAAGAGAGAGGGACCCATGTGAAAAATGGGCTCCCAGCGAGAGAGGACAGCCTCGGGCTACGTCGCGCGATGCGACCCTGCTCAGGGAGGGATTCGTTCTTCGTTTGTAAACTTCAAAACGCATCGCGTACGTCGATTCGGCCGAATCGACGTGAAATCCCGTTGCCTATCGTGAACCAAATGTTTTCTTCGAACGAAAATCTCGAAAGTCCGGATCGATTTAGATTCTTATTCGAACACATCGAATCTTCTTCTCGGAGATAACTAAACGCGCGACGTTCTCGCGAGTAAAGATAATTCGTATTCGCGCGTTTCTTTCCGTGGGAATCGCACGCTTATGCACCGCGTGGGTGGTTGTGCACGTTTTTGCGTGGGCGAATCGAAAGGCAGATGAGAGGAGGAGGAAGGAAGAAACAACAGTTTCCGAGAGGAATGGGAATTACCTTGTTTCGCACGCGCTCTTGAGATATTTCTTTTCCAGCCTTTTCCCAGATTTTTCAGCTCTATTTTTCGCGCGTGGCTAACACAATAGAACCGACTGTTGGATCGTCTTCTGGCATCTTTCGATCGCATGGCTTGCCGTCGGCGAAGAATCGTGGGCTCGATCGGTCCCGGACAAGCGCGCGTTACGCGTGGCTTTCTAATGTCCTCGTGAAAGCAGATCGAAGTCCGATTCTTGCCGAGAAAATTCTTCTCTATCCGTCGTATCTGTCGACGCGCTCTCGCGTAGTCGTAATGTCGCCTTCCGCGCGCCCACCTTCCGGCCGTATGTCTCTCACGCCGACGGGATAAACGCGCACATCGGGTACTTATGCAGATCGCATAGTGCGCGAAGAAGTGTCTATAATTCAACAGCATCGATAAAGTTCACTTTTAGAGTGACGGCATGCAGAGTGTTTCGACACTCTTGTTGCTCTTAACTCTTAAATTACTACGCTTTGACCTATTACGTAAAATGTTGCGTAAAATCTTTCTTCTCACAAGAAGGACACTTTTCTCAGAAAATCTTTTATTTAGTAGTATACTATAGTATAGTATTCTGTCAAGTCATTTAGAGTACATTTTTAAGAAAATATTTTAAAACGAGAAGAGAGAGAGAGGAACAACGGTCATATATATTTGTGGTTTTAAAAAGATTGTAATCAACGTAATAATATACAAAATTGTTTACAAAAAAATTAATTATGCAATTAAATTGCATATGTATGATTTTTTTTTTCGATAAACAGATGAGATTTGTAGAGAATTTTAAAATGCATACGAGATTTTTTTCTACAGGATTTTTGTAATTTATATTCTACGAGAATAAAATTGCGGTTTGGAATTCGAGAAGAGATTAAATTTGCGCGCGGCTGGAACACATCATACGCTCGTTTCAGTAGAAGCATCTACGGACGATTTTGTCGTAGATCATGTCATCCGTAATTACACACATTTCTTTGAATGCCCGCCGACAAGTTATTATCGGCGAAATACGCGTCCTTTCGTCGACAAAATGCTCGTTTGTCACGTTGTATTGTAGTGGAAGGGATGTAGGATACGAAAATCATGCTCGATTCATCATGGTCTTATCGTAACTGCGCATTCCCACCCTCTCAACAGGTGAAACAAGAACCCCGGATTCTTGCTCAAACCTGCGGTTACTTCGTCATTGTATTCCCCACACAACGGGCTTCCCGATTATCATTTCTCGTATGACGATGAAATGGAATAGCCTTAAGAGAAGTCAATGACTAGCTTACAAAGATAAATTCTCTTTTATATGGAATTTAAATAAATTTTAAAAAGCTTCTACTCTGTCTTTTTTGCACAATAATAAAAATGACTTCTATTAATTATATTGTATTATATGTAAACGCAATATTGTCGAATGAATTAAAGCCGTAAATCGGACTCTAACTTTATGGCGTTTTATCTCACTACGAATCGCATCTCCGACTAGAGAAGCCCCAGCCGAATGGCCCCGATTCAAAGTAATCGAAGTCTCCAAACAAGATTCGGCATAACATGACGTCTTGCGCGGGCGTTAAAGTCTCTCGGCGGCGCCCGTAAACGCGCATAATGGTTCTCAACCGGTTCATCGGGGATTCATTCAGAGAAACGTCAATGTTGCATCTATTCACGCACGTACACCTATACCTATACTTATACATATGTACACGTGCGCGCCTATAGATCGTCACTACCTGTTCACCGGCAAAGACCGGTCAGTTCTTATACCGGTTGCGTACGTCTCTCTAAAGCAAACACCGGCGTGTTTACGTCTGGATATAAAGATGTGGCGAGGCACACATACACACACAAATGAAAGAAACTAACATTCCGAGATTGATTCCTGGACACGATTTATTAGGATGATTTAACGTGTTTTTATAGTATTTTGTCTTTTTATCCTCATTGCAGTATTTTAAAAATGAGGAGAAGCATCTGGGAAATCTTGTATCACGTATTGTATATTGATTGTGCATTTTATGTAATTGCTTGAATATATCATTTTTAATTCGAAGAAGTTTCATCAAAGAAAAGAATATGCGAAAATATGAAATATCTTAGCTACGATTTACAGCCGGAGTAGAATTTTTATTCAACGTCAAAAAACGATAATTTGAAATACCAGTTTGGCCGATTGAAAAACTGCGTCCGGCTATCTAATGTTAATT